GGCTCTGAGGGGTCCCTGAGGGTTCCTGGGAAGGACTTCCCAGGAGGAGGCTGGAGGGCTCTGATTAGTTAATGGGGAGGGGTCTGGACTGAGGAACTGGGTAGGTCCCAGTGGTGACTGCAGTGTCGCTTGTACCCAGCCCAGATGTGGGCATCTTGCCTGGCCATTTCCAGCTTTCTGTCTTCAAATACAAGTTCCGAGGATGCACCACCTTGGGCCCCGAATTCATCGCGGTTCTATTAAAATCCCCCAAAGGGACTCTATTATGAAGCTTGCAGGATGGAGTCAAAAATCCCTCTAGAAACAGGCGTGTGCATAGGAAACGACTGAGCATTTTTGTTGTCAGGTTTTCATGGGGCGGTGGTGTCCTCGTCCTCCGCGTGATAGGGTGGAGGTCACAGAACAGCAGCTGGAATCCCCCACAGCCACCACACAGCCTAAGCACAGACCAGGGCCTGCCAGCCGCCCATGGCCCCCGCACCCCCCGCGCCCCCCATGGCCCCTTCTTTCCCATCAGATGTCGCTGGAGGCGTGTGGCCAGTGGTCCCTGGCTGGTTTCTTCTTTGAAACGTTTCTCTGCTGTGAGCTGGACACAGAGACGCCACGGCAGATCACCGCGGGCACGCACTTGTCCAGGCCGAGGTTAACTTTTGAAAATGAATGTAGAGGGGCCTGGCTTTTGCAGGCCCCACACAGCGATGAAGCTGCAGTAAGGGGAGCGCGGGTCCCTGAGGCCACACCGGGCCGAGAGCAGACCCCGCCTCTCCTGGTTCCCGACTCTCATCAGGTGACTCTGGTGAGGACTGAACTGACCGCCCAGCCCAGGGCAGCTGCTCCACTCGGAGCGCCCTGACGTAGCTGGACCCCGGGATCTTTAGCCCTCTGTGGCTGTGCCTGCATCGCCGTGGGTTACGAGCATTATCTGTGCACAGGATGGTTTGCCCAGGTCGGCTGCAAGGCTCTCTAGAACTGACTGTGCGAGGAATACAAATGAGGACTCAGGACGTTTGTTTTCAGACTAAACAAGCCCAGTGAGGCGCTTGGCGGGAGTCTGGCCGTTCCGTGGCACCTCGTGGGCATGATGATGCCTCAGAACAGAGTTTCCTTGGTTCTGTTTCCTTGACTGTTTGTCATGTACTTTGCTATGAGGTACTTTGGGTGAGATTTTTTCTTTTTTTAATACACGTTGCTAAAAACAGACCAGAAGACCCCAGTTAGCAGTTAGTGCTTGATGCCTGGGGTGGGTTCGTGGGTGCAGGGGAGGGGCGCACGCAGCTGCAGGGGCTCTCACTCCAGCCCACCAGCAGGGTCCAGCGCTCGGCCAGTCCCTCGCCCATGGTTTTCAATTGTGCATAATCAAACAATCTTTCTGTTGGTGTTTCTTCCCAGTATTTTACACAAAGGAAGTCCCCACTACCTACCACCAGGCAGTAAGCACCTGTTTCCCTTGGGTCCTCTTCATGTTTTTAAGCCCTCACTGCCTTCCGCTTAGCATAAGCCCCCGGACAGCCCATGGGTCCAGCCCGGCCTCTTGGCTTCTCGCTCTTGGGCAGCAACCCTTCTAGCGTGCCCACCAGGAAAGTTGGTTCTTTAGCTGTCTCTTGTACATTTTGTTATGAAAAATGTATTTAATGTACATCTAAATATATATAGACGTGTATATACATCTATGTATCTTACTTGGGTTTCATCCAGGCTGGGGTTTGGACTGTCTCCATAAGCTGAGTTCCCTTCTGGATAACGCTGGTGTAGACACTGCACCTGCTCAGCTCGCGGCGCTTCTGGCCGGGGTCAAGGCTGTGGTGGCTTCCTCTGCAGGTTCCCGGCTGGCTGGGCTCATCCGCTAGCCTGTAGCACTCTGCAGTGTGTCTTCCATTAAATACCAATTCAATAATAAATGTTCAGTGCCTTCTCTGTAGGGCATAACAGAAGATGCCGAGGGGCTAAAAAGAAGTTACAGGCCTTAGGGACTTCTTTTTTTCCATCAAAAAAAAAAAAAGGGTGTTTCAGCTCTTCCGCAGAGCAAGCCCAGACAACCTTCCTTTAGGAAATTTTACTCTGAAGGGTTTTGTTATATCACATATTTTTCGTGTAAAGCATGTTCTCATATTTATTACTTGACTTCAAGAGTAGTGACGTTTTTCCCCTCTGTAGCTCGGTGCTAATTATTTCTACGTTTCTAGGTCAGCTGATCCTCTCTGGGCTCTGATCCCGCCAGGAAGGCATTAGAAATAGTGCAGCCCTTTCCAGGAGGGGACACTAGAGTAATGAGAGCCAGAACTTCTTCATCGCGTCTTCGTCAGTGGCTATTAGTGATTTTTTCCTGTTTTGTGCATCTGGCGGCCCATTGTGAAAGTCAGCCTCACAAGTAGCTGCTCACTGTCCTCATACTCTGTGGCAAAGGCTTTCGAGTTTCTAGGGTCTCCTGCCCTCTCTACCCCGACTTGCACCAGAGCTGCCACTGACCACGGCCTCCTGTTTGTCCGTCACTGAGCTGCGGTCGAGGGGCCTTCCTGGCTCGCTTGCCCGCATGCGGTTATCTGCTGGCTTAGCCCGGCACTGGGGGCCTGACTCAACCCCTACCCCTCTTCCCGCTCGCCTCGACAGGCGTTCGACCCTCGGTCAGTCTCCACCCCACCTTCTTTCCTTCCCACCTTCTCCATGTTCTATTTATGAGGCAAAAAATGAACTCTAGTCGTAGCCGAGAGATAACAAGTGTCATTAGCAGCGCCATTAATATGCCGTAGAGGGCGTGACCTTTCCTCCCAGAGACTGTAGGTTATTTGAGGAAACAGCTGAGGTGCAGAGATGGTTCAGTGTAATTATTTTTTTATTTTATTTTATTTATTTTTTATTTTTTATTTTTTTTATTTTTTTAGATTTTTTTTTTTTAATAGAGGCATGTTTTATTTATTTATTTATTTGTTTCTTTGTTTTGTTTATACATGCACTGGGCACAGTCAGAAGCGCGGGAGGGTGAGAGAATTCACCAGAGCCAGAGGGGGGAGCAGAGCAGGCAGAAGGACCAAAGCACACTGCTGAGGGGAGCAGCGGGCGGCAGGAGAGGTCTGCGCGCCATGTGGGACCCTCCTCCAGTGGCCGGGGAGCATCCGGGGATCGAACCGGCGCCACAGAGGCCGCGGGCAGCTTCGCAACCCAGCACTCAACCACTGCGCCACCGGGGAGGCCCAGGTTCAGTGTAATTAAATGGAAATTGTGGGGGTCAGCGGAGGCCAGTGTGGGTGGAGGGTGGATGTCCAGTCTGAGGGACCAAACTCCCCGAGGGAGGGGGTAGAGGAAGCTCTGGGGGCACACCGGGGCCCGGACCGCCTGCTTGGGGGATTGGAAGGCTGTGCCGCGGGCCGGGGCCTTGGGCGCAGGCTGGGGCGGCCAGGACAGCTGACCTTTGTGGCTGCTGTTCCCGCCACTTTCTATTTTGATACAGCCTCTGCGTCGAGGAGATCACAGGCTCAGGCCCGCATTCCGTGCACCCCTGTCCAGGTCCTTTCACCACGGACGCGCTGCTTGTTCTGGAGCTTCCACTGAACGGGACCCCGCAGTCGGTCCTCTGGTTTCTGGGTTCTTTCTCTGTGTGGCTTGTGTCCAGATTCCGGCCTTGGGCTGATGTCCTGGCGTGCTCGGCCTCCCTGCAGGTGGCGAGAGTCTCCCGGTGTGTGGGTGAGCACGTAGCCGTCACCACCCCCAACCCCGTCCGAGTGGAAGCGTCCCTTGGACAACCTTTGCTCTCGTCCCTCTTGGCCAGGTCTGTGGGACTGAGCCCTGGGGCACCAGGGCCAGGCTGGCTGGGTGCCCTCCCGGTGGGGCAGCAGTGTTCACTGCGGTGCTGCTCCCCCTAAGGGTCACTGATGTTAAGCACTTTTTCATGTGCTTATTAGCTATTTGCATAACTTTTTGAGGTGTCTCTTCATCCTTTTGTCTCATTTCAAAAAATGAGCTGTGTCTCTGTTCTTCCTGGATTGTGGGATCCAGATACTGGTCCTTTCTCAGATACAGGTTTTGCAAACATTTTTCGGTCCGTCTTTGTCTTGCTTATTTATTTTCTTCATGGTATCTTTTGATGACACCCAATTTATCATTTTTTATTACTTTATGGTGACTTTTGCTTTTCCTGCCTTAAGAACTTCTCCTGCACCTCTGGGTGGCCCAGCTGACAGCGCCCCTGCAGGCCTCTCTGCCTGGGGACGGCCACGGAGGAGGCTGCAGAGCACTGCTGTGAGCCTTTTGGCTGCTCTGGGAATTTCTAGAAAGGGGCTTTGACCCTTAAAGCAACTTAGATTAACTTAGGGGCAAAGGTTATTTCCCTTTGTCCCAGGAAATAACCAGCTGGGGATGAGGAATATTTGCTCTTTTCTACTTTTTTCCCGTGGCTTGGCCTGTGATTCCCATCTCTCCTGTAATCAGGTATCCACCTCGGGAGAAGCCTCACCCCCAGAAGGCAGGGCTGTGTCGCCAAGCGGCTGTGGGGGAGGGCAGGGTGCGGGGAGCACGTGCCAGGGTTGCCAGACCGGAAGCAAGGGCAAGGGTGTCTGTGTGTTGTCTGCCTGCTGGGCTCCCCCCCTCCCACCCCACCCCCACCCACTGCTCACAGATCCTCCCTCTCTGGACTCCGTCTCCTGGGCCCTCACATTCTGTGTCCCGGCTGTGTGGCTCGGGGCTCCGCCTTCTTTGGCGACTCGGTTCTGCTTTGCCATTTTCCTGGCTGTCGAGTCAGAGCACCTGGGCCTTCTGAGCCCTCTCTCCAGGGGGACGGTGGACGGCAGGTCCTCCCCAGCCTCGCCTCTCGCTGGGAGGTCACCTTCTGGCACAAGCTCCTCTCCGGTGGGTGCTGGAATGCAGTGGCCGCCGGGCCTGGGCCACCGAGCTCTCCCTGCTGCCCAGGGAGCTGGTCTGGGCCCCAGGGGGCAGCCACGGGGAGGGCTCTGGGGACGTGGCTTCTCCTGCCCTGGGATGTAGTGACCAAGAAATCTCTGCTCTTCCAGGATACATCGAGAATGGATATGTGAAGCTCATTGTGATCAGTGTCAAAAATAACGCAGAGCACCTACCTCTGGTCGGAAAAGTCGGCCTCTCTTGGAAAACTGGCGTTCTGGATGGCTGCGTAAAGGTAAGTGCTTCTTTTCTCTAAATAGCCTGGGTTCTGTATGGTGAAGCAGCCCTGCTGATGTGTGGGTGTGGCCCTGCTCTTACAACCCCAGCGCTGTCATTCTGGTTTCGGGAGATTTGCGTGCAGCCTCTTAGCCGTCGGCATCCCTCGGTATCTGCTGGGTACCTGCCGCCCGTCCTCGAGCGTGGGGCTGGGTGGCGGCGGCGCCTGGCAGTGCTGGTCAGCGGCCGTGGCCCTGCCACCCCCGCCCGAAGCCCCTCCACTGTCTGCTTTGAGGAGGAGGCGGCGGCCGTGGGCTGGGCCCGGCGGGCAGCGTTGGCTTGGACGCGTGATTCTCATGCACTGATTTAAAAAGTATTGGAGCTGAGTCTAGAACAGATAGTTCCTCCAACAGTTAAGTCAGGTTGCTCCTCTCAAAATGTAACCACGTGTCCGGAGAGCTGATCTGGGGCTGGGAAGGGGAGCAGGGCCGGCGAGGAGGGGCGGGGCGCAGGGGAGCACCCCCAGACAGTGTCCATTGTCTCCAGGGGCCCTGGCGCGGGGCTGCTCCGGCTCCCCTTCCCCTCCGCCTTGCGTTGTGGGCTGAGGGGCTTTCACACCCACGGGGCCCAGGGGGCTGGCGCCGCCTACGCCGCCGGTGATGTGACTTTGTCTTCGCCGTCGTGGCAGGACTGTGGACGGGGTCGCTGGGCACGAGAAGCACTTAGTTACGAGGTGCTGTCTCTTCAGCCTCTCGGTGTTTGAAGTAATGGAATGTTTGTTCACTTATTTGTGAACCACTCTTCAGCTTTTGGCGAAGATGCTGTTCGTTACGCAGGAAAGAATCTTGTCTCCATGGCTCTGAGGGCACAGGCCCGAGTTCTGTTCTCATGGGTTTGGATGAGTCTCGTAACGAAAAATGTGTATTAAAAATAACAATCAAAATAGGCCGCGAGGACCAAGAAAGGCAGAACCCAGACTCTACATGTGGCGGACTAAAGGGTCAGCGGGGTTGAAAACTCACTCGTGCTGCGTCTTCTGGTGGTCGAGAGCACGAAGGTTACTTCTAAATCCACATGGGCCTTGGCATCAGTTTTAACTCACTAATATCTTGGCAAGACTGTTTCTGCTTCCGCGAGAACAGTTGCGCTCAGGAGAGCTGCTGAGGGCAGCACCTCACATGGGTCAGCAGGTGCGGGTGGCTGTGCCCCTGCCCCCTCCCCCGACAAGGGGGGGCGCTTTGGCCAGTTTGCTACCTGGGACTGCTGTGAACGGGCGAGCAAGGGTGAGGGCGCCTGTCACATCGGATCCCTTCCAAGAGCGTGACGCCGCCAGTGCCCCGGGCTGTGGCCCCAGACATCCGCTCCGCACTGCCAGGGAGCCGCGCCTTCTGCAGGTCCTGCTGGGAGGGCCAGGTGCAAACATGGACGGAGGTGAGTGGGATGCGGGAGGAGGAGCCTTGGGCCGGGAGACGGATGGGCGTTGCTCAGACTGGAGTGGGTGGGGGGTCCGGCGGGAGTGACCTCCCCGGGAGCCAGCCGGGAGCCTCCCAGCCAACCGGGCGAGGTGCGCTGGGGAGTCTGCGATGCTGCTGATACCTGCGTCCAGTTTGTCCTGGTGTCTGTGCAGGCGTCCGAATCGCAGTGATAAAGCACTGACGGGCTGTGTGTCCCACGGTGACAGGTGTGTCCGGGAGGGCGCTGGAGACCCTGCCGCGACGCTGCCTTCCAGAGACTGACAGTGCATTCCTGAGCATGAAACGAACCAGCCCTGGTCACCTTCAAGGAGCACGGCTCGTGCCCGGCACAGTGAGGCCAGTGTCACACGCCAAAGCCCCTTGCAGGACCCCGTGGGCTCCCAGGGCCCGGCTGCGCTGCACATGTGCGTGGTGGGGTCCGTGGCAGCAGCTGCCCTTGGTTAAGCGTGACCCCAGGATGCGCAGCCGGCACCCGCTGTAGGGTCATGGCTTCAACTGAGCCGTGGCTGCCCAGGCTGCCGCACCCTGGCCCAGCGGCGGCTGCGGGGTGCACCCGTGTCCGCCTCCCGCCGCGCAAGTGTCCGGACGCTCCTGGTGGCGTGTGCCTGGCCCTGTTGTTCGCGAGAGCTAAAGCTGGAGCAAGCCAGGCCCTGGGACCGCGCCGAGGGGCCATGTAGTGGGGTGGCCTTGCACCTCAGAAAGGAAGGACGTGCTGGCGCCTGTGGCCATGGGGTGAGCCGGGGGACACTGTACCCCCTGAAACATCCAGTCACATCAGGATTTGTGCTGTGTGTTGGCTCTTACCTGAGGACCCTGGAGAAGCCAGGTTCATGGAGATGGTAGGAGGAGGAAGGTTCCTGGGGTACAGGGGCAGGGAGGGAGCTGCTGCTTGACACTCGGAGTGTCAGTTTTGTGAGCTGGGAGGAGCAAAGGAGGCAGCACCGGGTGTGAGCCCAGCCGATGCCAGGGGCCCAGAGGACGGCTAAGGTGCAGGCGTGTGTTAGCGTCTGTGATCACAATGAAAAAGGTAGAACACATTAAAATATTAGTAGCTGTCGGTTTCTCAGCATCTCCAACTGTCTCCTCCCGACTCGTCGGGGCCTTCTCCAGCTGACGTGCTTCTTTCTGCCCCCTCTTCTGTAGGGGGATGCGCAGGGGTCAGCCCCCACCCCTTGACCTTTAGTCTGGAGGCCAGGACTGTGGGTTTGTCCTGTGATTACTCCTCCATCTAGTCTTCCCATGAGGCACAGCCATGACGGCTCAGGACTTTGGCCACCATTTTGCTCGTGAAGGACAGCAGGCCCTTCCCTGCGCCCCCCAAGCCCACCGTGTATCTGGTCCTCCCCGAGCCAGGGTGCGTGCCGTGCTGGTCACTGCGGGGGGTGCAGAGGGGGGGTGGGGTACAGAGCTGACCGGCCCAGGGAGCTGAGGTCCCACCCCCCACCCCAGCGGGATGAGTGACGTGTGCCCGAGCCTGCCCCGTCCTTGCCAGCCCTGCTCCCGCCGCCCGCGCCCTGGGGCGTGGCCCTCGCTTCCCTCCTCTTCGCTGAAGTCCGGTCCTCCTCCCCGACAGCGGCGTTTGCACATTTGTTAATGAGACGTGAAGATCAGGCCGAGCTGCTCCTGTCCCTCACGCTTACCGCTGTCTGTGTTTATCTCGTAGAGTTGTTTTATTATGGACGTGACTCTGTTGGACGAGTGCGGGAAGCCCTTTTGGTGTGTCAGCTCCCCGGTGTGCATGCGGCCGTGCCCCTCGCCCCCCGACGGGCCGCATCTCTTGGGTCAGACATACTGTGTTGACTACGCGGACGAGGACGGGCAGGTGCACGTGGAGCTGGTGTGGATCGAAGAGACGCAGGAGCACTTCATCGTCAGCCTGGTCCTGCACCTCAGCGCGGCCAAGATAAACCGCTGGTTCGGGACAAAATACTGAATGTGCGCGGGGCGGCCCGGCGCGGCTGTTTGCTGCGGGCCAAGCAGCTCTGTTGTCGGTGTTGGAAGTTAAAATAAAGGTCCCTTGATGCCTGCTCATTTCGTATCCGTGATTATGATTCCCGGTCCTTTTTAAGTGAACGTTTAGAGGATGAAGTTTAATTTTTAAAACATGAAAATAGAACATCCTGAGGAAAATTTATATAACCTAAAAAGAGAAAAAAGACTCCTCGTCGGCCCTCACCGTTTAAAAGACAGGAGCGTGTACGCAAGCGCGGGGCCGGCGTGAGAGATGCACGGGGGGCCCCTGGGTTGGCTTCAGCATCACATGACAGAATGTGGTTAACGGCGACCGTCATGGCGTTCGTTAGCATTGGAAGGTGCTCTAGTCGCGGCATTCAGCAGTCATGCTAGTATTTCATGACACAAAGTAAAACAGACAACCTGCTCCGCAGGGAGGATTGTCTGAGCGCGTCGGAAGTCATTCCTTGGGCAGCAGAGCGGGGCACGGCAGCCCTGAGCCGGAGCGGGACGGGGGCGCAGGGCGGCCGAGGCGGGGGGCTCAGGCAGAGATGACGGTGGCCGTAAGCCCGTGTTTTTCTCAGGAATTTGGGTCTGGTCAGTCTTCCATGTGTTGGTCGCTTTTTTCCGGTATTTTTTCCCTCAGTGCTCAAACATGTCAGACAATCTCTGGTTCTTCTTCCTGCCAGACAAGCTCATTCCCAGCCTCCTGCCTCCGGTTGTGCTGACCCGGACCCCGGTCCTGCCGGGCAGCGGCCCGGGGCAGCGGCCCGGGGCGCCCGCCTTTCTCCTCCACTCCCAAGCCTCTCCCCTCACTCGCCTCCCGCGGCGCCCTGGGGGACACGAGGAGTTTGGAGCCGAGAATGTCTGACAGGGTCCGGCGGGCAAGTGAACGTGCTCTCAACTGCAGGAGGAAGAATGTTTTCCCTTAGAACGCTGAAGCCATTTTCCGCCGCGGGCCGGCCGCTGCTGGCGTTCGCGCAGCTGTCTGGCTTCCCCGGGTGCGCCCGGCCGCCGCCTGCTCGGGGCCGTCACAATGGACTCTTGCAGCGTGGCGGGGAGTAGGCCCCTCACACGGCGTGGGCCATTTAATCTATGAATGTGTGCACCTCGCTTCTGGGTTTTTTGGAAAAAAATCTGTCAGTATTTTCCCTGTAGCCCTTTTCTTTATTAACTTAGTAACCAGCCGTCGTGCCTTCTGGATTGACCCTCTCCCGTGTTTCATCTTTTCCATTTCTCTTTTGTTCTGTTTTCTGGAAATGGCCTCAATTTTGTTTTCAGCCTTTCTATAGCATTCCTGTTTTTCTTTGGTCATCATTTTTTTCTTACTTTATTAGGATTCTTTTCTGTTTCTTACAAAGCATCTTGCACCTGTTTCAGAGGGTGGGTTAGCTTGTGGGCCACGGTGTCTGTGGCTGCAGCGGGACTTGGTGAGGGAGCCTGGGGTGTCCCCAAAGCCTTTAGGGGCCAGAGCTGGTGGCAGGCTGAGCTTGTCCTTGAGGCTGCAGTTTGCCAACCCCTGTGCAAAAGTCTCTGAGGCTGTCGATTTTAATTTTCAAAAATGTTTTCACTTCACCATTTGACAAAACCACCGGGGGGTGGGGGGAAGGGGCGGGAAGTACAGTTCTCGGGAGAGCGTGGTGAGGGCAAGCTGCCTCCCACCACAGGGACACATCCCGACAAAGGGGCCGGCACCCCTGGGGGCGCTCAGGCGAGCGGCCTTTGGCTCCAAAGACGAGGCCCAGACTTGACCCTCTTTGGGTAACTTGCTGGAGTGGCCCCTCTGGGTGGAGGGTTGTGGGCACCTGCCTCGAAGCGACTGTCAAAGGAAAGGGTGGCCCCCTGGCCGCATGCCCCCAGGATAGTCCCCCAGCCCGGCCAACCCGTCGCTTTTAAAGGGGCGGGGGGCAGGGCTTCAAGCATGGACCACGGGCGTTGGAGGACAGTCAGCCCAGGGGGTTCTGGTCACCCTGGACGGTGACCCTGTGAAAACGAGGGGTGTGTCACCCTGAGACGCGGTGCAGATGGAGCAGGAGTTTGCACGCCACCATTCTGGTTGCAGCGTTGTTTTGACGGTGGGCATTATTAGCGACCTTGAGAGTAGGTGGAAATAGTCAACCCTCAGTGAGGCCAGCCGGAGTAGAGCTTCACAGCGGAAACTAGACTTGGGAGAAAAAATGGGCACTTGAGAAAATGCTTAGTAGCAAAAATGTAAATTTGTATCATTTGACATGGTCTCCAAAGTCAATGAATCAAGTTTGCGTGTGGAACTTGCACGGAAAGGGGCTGGTCCCGACGAAAATGAAAAAACTCAAACAGCTGACTGTGTGGTCTGGAGAACTGATCAAAGGCTTATGCAGGTTTAATGGCACTTAGTGTTGCTATAAGTGGGAGGAAAATGTCTTCACTGATAGAGTCTAAACACCCTCGGGGGCAAAATGGCGGGGTTGAAAGATTCTGTATTGATTTAAGATGCCCGGCACTTCGTAGCTGCAGTGTGTTTTAAGTGAAGCAAAACATATTTTTGTAACCGACTACAGGGAGAAATGGACAGATAAACACAGCGTGACTTGTTGAAGACGTTGGATTATGAACGCACATCACCTGCAATTTTATTAGTGCTGCTATAATGAAATAAAATATTTAAAAATCCGAAATTTGCTTCGTGGTTCCATTAACTCTGCAGTTGTATTCTGAGGTAAGCAGACGTGGGAACCTGCAGGAAAAATCACTCGGCCTTTTACCTACACACAGCCGCGCTGCAGTGTGAAGGGGGAAGGTGCCAAAGGGCCGGGAGTGCGGTGGTGGGCCAGGACGGGGCAGGAGGAGAAGGGGCAGGCGGCGAGGTGCGGGGAGAGGCTCAAGGCCAGGAGGGGCCTCGGGAAAGTGGCAGGCGCCCCGATGCACCCTCCCCACCGCCAAGTCTCAGACTTTCCCTTGCCTCAGTGCCTCCGGGAGTCCAGTGCCCCGCGCCGCGGACAGCCGAGCGGCACCAGCGCTCCTGCTCCAGAGCGGAGACACCCGGCCCCTGCACTGTGGAGCCGGCGCCCTGCTGAGCAGGGACTCCAGGACGCAGCATCGGCAGAGGGCAGAGCTTGTACTTTATGAGCTTGTTACTCTTCATCTTTCTAAAGTACTGTGTCTCCAAATCCAGCTTGACTGACTTCCCTCGTGACATGCCCCAGCTTCAGGCGCCCCCGCACCTGACCCAAGTGAAGGCCCGAGGCTGCCCGGAGACGCCGCCTTGCGAGGGACGCCCCACGGCCCTGACCTGTGCTTTCCTTCGGGCCGGCGCTGGGCTGTCCGCGGGGGACCTGCCCGAAGGTGGCCCCTGACCCGCCAGGCCTGGAGCGGGGCGCGGAGTCCGGGGCGCTCAGCAGCAGCCCCTGGAGCCACAGGCTGCAGAGGGACGGGCTCCCATGGGGAGGCTCCGGGCTCCTGTGGGGAGGCCCCCCCCCCTCCCGGCTCCACCCTCGTCCTTGGAGGAGCGGGTTGCTGTGCTTCTGTTCCCACAGGGTCACCCCGATTCCAAGGCGCATCTATTTCCTTTGAGCACCATGTCTGTCAATGCCGGCGTGCACGCACGTGCACCTGCAGATGGACGTCGAAGCCACTCAAGGTGTGGCCCGTAGATCATCAGGTAGCAGCGGGAGGATGTTTATGGCCCCAGGAGGCCCGTCTTCCCATTATGACTAAGTTCTGGTCTTTTTTTCCTTGCCCAGATAAATTGACTTCTTAGACTGTTACGGATTATGAAAGCAATTCCTGATCTTTGCAAGGAATTTTAAAAGTACAAAACAAAGGACAGAGATAAAAATAAAAACCACCCTCAAGGTGGTAGATGGGGGGAGGCCAGCGATGGAAAATGGATAAAAGGACAGACGTGATGGAGACTGAATATGAGGCCATGATGAACTAATATATGCCCCGGGAGACAGTCTTTTAGAAAAATAGAAAGGATTTGATTCACTAAGAGATGGAGCATGTGAATAAAATGTAATCAGTAAGGAAATTCAGTTAATAACCAAACCCCACATATTCTAAAAACCCCAGCAAGTTCTGAGGATTTAGGGTTGATTTGTCACTTTATATTCAAGTACCAGATAATACCAATATTCTTCCAGCTGCTCTAGAACACATGGAAACAGCAAATGCTCCCCAGTTCATTTTGAGTTTAAAAAACATTAAAAATTGCAGATAACATGTGCAGAAATTGCACGAAGGAAAAAATGCATGGATTGAGGAGTCAATCTAATCCAAACCCTGCTAACCCTGTAGTATCAGGGTGACCCCAGGAGTCCCCCAGTGCTTTGCCTGATGGAAGCTCCTTTTCTCTAATGTTTACCACCACGGTGACCCCTAGGCTATCGCATCTGTACTTTTCTGTGTGCTTTAATCACATAACTAGCATTCCTAGGCGCTTTAGTTTTGTCCATTTGTGAACTCCGTGAGAACGTTTTTGATGGAGGCCCCAAAAGTACAGTATGATTAAGAGGAAAAAAGAATATCAGAAAGATTTAAACTGGTGTTTGCAAGTGACTGATTTCCCACATCAATGCCCCAAACCATTGATAATTCATTGGCAGATTATTAAAAGACTCTTAGAGCAAGGATCCTACGTAAAATATCTACCTATAAAAATCAACTAAATCCTTTTAAAAGTTAATGATTAGAAAGTTTAAATAATATAATAATACTTGCCAAAAACCCCACCCAAAATAAAAACATCTCTATAATACTTGGGAACAACTTGCCTAAGTAGCTGTCAGACCATTCTGGAATAACCTCACAACTTTCTCAAAAGACATTAATAAAAATGTCCACAAAGTTACCAGTTTCCTTTTGGGAAAGACTCTCATAATGTCAGTTCTCAACCAATTAATCTACAAAGGCAATGCCATTGCATTCTAATTGCCAAAGCAGTTTTATACTTAACAAGCTAATGAAAAAGTTATGCAGAAAACTACAACTGAGAATGGAGAAAACAGTTTTTGAAGAAGGTGGTGGGACATGCTTTCAAAATTTATTTATCCGGGCCTCCCCGGTGGCACAAGGGGTTCAGATGCAACCTACGAAGCTATCTGCAGCCACTGCA